GCAATTGGAGGCACAGGTGGTTTGAGGAGCAGAGAACACCTTAAACTGATTTACCAGCTAGAAGCTGATCTGGATACAGATGGTGTTGGTATAGTTATCTTTTCTCAGGAACTTTATGTTTGGCTTGTTATTATCCATTAAATGTAGAGCTGCCTTTGAAAATGGTCTGGAAAATTTAGCTGGAAAAATTAGAGCAGTGAAACTGGTAACTGGCACAGTTTGATTATATTCTACCAGTGTTGTATGATTTGCACTGGGTGCCGGTCTATTTCCAGGTCCAATCCCAAGCACTGTGGGCCAGCTTACCTGGATGACCTTCCCTTTCCATCTATATCTGCTGCAAAGGCCATCTTCAAGGGGCCATCTCTGGATGTCTTTGCTGATGGATGACTGCTAAGGAAAGGACCTTTTCATTCCTATTATGGGTTGCCCTCCCACATAGCCCTATATGGTGGTCTTTTCAGTGCCAGGCCAAAAGTCTTTAATTTTCTCTAGTTTTTGTTTAAAAAGTGTTGGTGTGTTTTTAGATCTTTGCACTGTTGCTGTGTTTTACCAAGGTTTATTAATTTTTGAATTATTTTGTTTTAAACATTAAGAATATTATTATTATTATCTTTTACTGTGTAGTTATATTCTATATTTTTAAGCTCTGATTTATGAACCACCCAAAGAGCTTTAGCTTTTGGGCAGTATAGTGTCTACAATATATTCATATACTACTGCAAGTGAAAAAGCACATTTGGATCCAAATTATGATACTAAATTTGCCTTATGGACAGACTATTCTTCTATTCTGCTGAATGCCTAAGTTGCAAAATCTGCATTTGCAAGGGAGTATGAAGCTGTTTGGCACAATCTTTTATACTGCAGTGAAATATTTTACCAGACGTTCCCCATGTGCCATCATGTGTAATTTGTTTTCTACATATAAAAGGCTTGTTTTGTGTATGTGGAATATGATTGTCAGACAGTATTACTGGATTGTGACCATTTTATAACTGAGTAGTTAGTAAATTGCATCATTCCATTTAGACTCCTCTATCTTTTTAAGGGTGGAGGGGCATAAGCCCTCATTTGCAAACGTTTCACACTACAGAGTTCAAATGCCAGGCATAACATTGTTATTTCTAGCCAAACGTGGCTGTGATTTCACTGTTTCCCCATCTGCTTTTTTATTCAAAAATGGGACTATTCAGCATTTGAACAGGTGAAGTGATACCCCCTTAATAGTGTCTGCGACCTCTGCAATCTGCTTAACCAAACAGCCAGTATAGATCAAAATGTGAAATTATACCGGGCCACTGCTGCACCTGTCCAAGATCCAGTCTTGCTTTGCTATTTTTATTGTCTGCAACTGTGGGAAACAAGTCATGTGAGAGGAATAACAGGTCGCTCCTGTGTTACTGGGAAACAGCACTTCACTCAGCAAAGGAAGGTTGGTTTTGGCCAGCTCCTTGCACAGATGGCACAGATGAGCACGCTCCTACCAGTTTTCCAGGTTCTACCTTAGGCTACAGGTCTGACAGCATTTCAGAAACATGGCCATAGGCCACTATGGGCAATGCAGAACTTGCATATGGCACCATGAAAGATCTGGTCCGGAAGGGCAGAGTGCAGAAAGGAGCTGAGGCTTAGCAGGCACAGAGGGTGGGGTATTGGTGGACAGATTTAAAAGAAGAACTTAAAAAGCAAGTTGCGCAGGAGTGAGAATTTGAACAGTGACAATTGTTCATGAAGAAATTCCTCCTCCTCTTTTGAAGATAAAGAGGCCATGCTTGTTCTCTTCTAGAATCCCAAGAGAAGCAGTGCTGGATTGGGATACGTCACATTTGACTTGAGAACTTCCTAAGTAACTCCGGTTGTCCAGATAAGAGGCTACTTTGAGGATATGGTTCAGAACATGGACAAAACCTAAGCCCCCCCCCCCCCCCCCTTCAAGGCCCAGGAGCAAGGATACTGAGGTGGTCAGAAATAACAGCCTGTGTGTGAGCTCCTTCATCGGGGACATGCGTAATATATAAATGTTTGGTACTGCACTTAATTGGCACAGATGTTCCCATGACTGTTTCCCACCTTCTGTGCATAATGGCAGGAAGTCAGATGTATTCAGATAGTCCCATCCCATTTTGTTACACCTTGATTGTCCAGGCCTGTGAGTATACAATGCACTCCTCTCTAGTACCAGAAAAGCATGGAGAATATTAAACCTCCTTCTGAGCTAAGCTTTATTGGGAACCCAGGATAAGAAGGGAAGGTTGACTATAAGGATATCTAACAGTTATGAAAGCTGAAGAGAGACAGAAGACTAGAAAGAAAAAAAAAGGGGAAATGCCACAAACTGCACTGCACAGAAGAAAGGGCTTTAGAAACGTACATCAGCAGCCTTAATAGCTATGCAGACCCTGAAATCAAGTCACTAACAGAAATACTTGCTTCATTTAACAAGTATTGTGAGCTCAGAAGAAACCCTGTTTTTGAACAGTTTGATTCTGGCAACTTCCTTACAATGAGGTAGGCATAGACTATTTTTTTTCACAGCACTTAGGAAAAAGAAAATCCAAGCATTCTAAATGTGGAGTTTCCACAATCTAATGCTCACACATAAAGATGTCTTCAGTTTTTCAAACACCAAACTCAAAGAGAAGCTCTTTTTGAACCCCCATCAGAGGAGATGGAGAACTAGGATAAACCACATTTGTTCTAGCCTTTACCATCTGTACAGCAAAGACCCTCACCAGGGCCCAGGCAACAAAAATGACTACAAAAGGCAGTTCAACTCAAGAGACACAGTCCCAGAACTTATTGAAAAAGAAGAAAGACACCAGGGCAGTTTTCTTCAGCAGAAAGCTTAGTAGCCACAAAAGACATCCCTGCAGTAGAAGCAGTCATATCTATAGGCCAGGCAGTGCCCAGGTTTCAGAGCGACCTGCAAAAAGTATGCAAGCAAGAATCATTTTTCTAAAATGTGCAGGATACAACCTGAGCATTTGCATCTCTCCAAGGATACCAAGTATCAGCAAGCCAAGCTACTCAAGAATTCCAGAAGCCCAGTATAGCCCAGTCATCACAGCTGGCCTTCAAGGTGCTTCTAAGAATATCACATAATACTTGCAAAATAAAGCACAGGCAGGAATAAAAAAATGTGAAACTAGTTGCCTTTGGAGGGGCAGAAGTCAAACTGAGAAGTGTTGTCAGAGATCTTTGCAAGAATGGTCCCAAAAACTCCAGTTCCTGGCCAGATGGACCCTTGACCCAATAAGACATGTACATGGTGTAGCCCTGCATTCTCTAACTGAAACAGTGGACTTCTAAAAAAGTTTTTGAAGGTTTGGGGCACTCTCCAGGTATACATCATATTTATGTGAAGCACACAGGACCACCTGTGGTGCACAGCAGTAGCAAGATTCCATGTCTTATCATTACAATTTCAAAACCACTTAGCAAGTCATAACTAAACCAACAGCATGGGTCAACAGCAGGGTGATAACACGCACACAAAGAATGGATCACTCAGATTGTTCCTGGATCATAGGGAACTCAACAAAGCAGTCAACTGACAACACTTTTCAATCTGTATAGTGAAAAATGTGTCATGGAGCCCTGCTGGCAAAAAGGTGATTCACAATCTTGGATGAGAAGGATGGTTACTAGTAAGGATACCTACCGAGTAAGTGCAGAACTATGTATTTTTAACACCCCATGTGGGAGCACCAGGTTGCCAGTGTGGTGTAGTGGTTAAGAGCATGGGACTGGGACTCAGACGAACTGGGTTCTAGTCCCCGCTCGGCCATGGAGCCAACTGGGTGACTTTGGGCCAGTCACAGACTCTCAGCCCAACCTACCTCACAGGGCTGTTGTTGTGGGGATAAAATGGAGGAGGAGATGTAAGCTGCCTTGAGCCCTTTGTAGGAAAAAGGCAGGATATAAATTTAATAAATAAATAATTTCAGCAAAAAAATATGCATGGTTTGGGACATTCCTGATATCCACATTACTGTGGATGACATGATCCCTGCTGCACGTGGCAAAGAGGAGCATGAGAAGGTCCTCCAGCAAGTCCTTGGCAGGACAGAGAAAATGAAAACATTCTGGGGGGTTTTTTATAGACAGTAGAATAGCATGAAGCCAGATGACAGCAAGTTGGAAGCAATCAGTTGGCTACCATTCCCTGAAGAGAAAAAGGAATTCCAAGGAATTCTTTGCAAAATACAGTACTTGGTACACTACAATCCCAGTGAGTTCAGACTGATAACTTCCCTAAGAGGCGGCATAGAAATGTTTTAATAAATAAATAAATAAATAAATAAATAAATAAATAAATAAAATATTCTGTGTCAATGGGACCTGAATGCCAGTAAAGTTTTAATCAACTGCAACAAGTTATCACAATTTCATAACTCCTCAGTATTTTGACTCCATGGAGCAACTATAGGTTCAGTCTGATGCCCCTGAGGATAGTTTGGGAACATGCTTATTCAGGAAAGGAAGCCAGATTGCAAATACTTCTTGTACCTTATGGACAGGAAAACAACATTATGCACAAATACAAAATAATCTCTTGGCAATTGACTTCCTAATATTAAAATTCCATCAGGATGTATTTGATGTCCAAGTAAAGATCTAATCCAGTCACAAGTCACTGGCAAGTCACGGTACAGGGAAAGCTCTAGCAAAAGTACAAGAAATATGTACATTTGTTATTACATTTGTAGAAATATGGCATCCAGATAGAATATACAAACAACAAGGACACATTCATGTATGCTACATTCTTCAGAGTGACCAGGGTATCATGTCCACAGAACTTTCGACAGAGGTTGGGGTGACTTACAGCCTCTGCAACACAAACACCTGCTTCGTAGCAACATACTCACACTGCTGCAAGAACACACTTCACCAAAGTACTTGTCTTCAGAGTTGGAAGGCCCTACTCATCAGTGGCTGACCCAGCAAGAAAAAGTAGATCTGACTTACTCCATCCCTATTCCCCTGTCAGAGACAGAGTTAGAATCAAAACCAACCTGCTGCTGGAGACAAGCTAAGACTGTTACACGTACCACACCAAAAGTCTACAGATGCAAAGTGCACAGTCAGATCCTGAGGGATCATCTTATATGAATGTAGATATAGAACAGTAGGTCAACAATTGTCAGCCATGCTAGGAACACCCACCAACAGAGCCAGATTCCCAGTTTACCATGGCCCAACTTACCATGGCTCAAGGCAGCTGCTGACATTTTTGAGCTTCAGAGCCATTGCTAGATGATAACTGTGGGCTACTTTCAATAAGTTCTCCACTTGAACAAAAGAGCCAGTCTGAAGGCAACATTTGTGCACCATGGACTACCTCAGGAGATAATTTGTGACCCTGTGCCATCTTTCCAGCTAGACTAGAAAACTATCTACGAATGAGTGTGGGATCACCTTGCCATGCTTAGCCCAGGTTTCTCCCTCCAGGTAATATCAATCTCACCAGCAACAGTTTTACCATCTCGTGTATATATCAATGAAAAATGAGGCTTGGGAAGCTTCTGAATCAGACGTCCTTCTCCAGGCAGCAAGGTCTAGGGGGGGACTACAATTTGAGAAGTTTTGCTCACCCTCACGTCAACTTTGCACAAAGGCCATTATGGTGTGGATGTGGGTGGGACAGAGATGGGGGACACAACAGCAATGGCAGGTCAGTGAGTACATTTTCCCTTCACACATTTGTAAATCATGTGAGGAGAAGATGACCAAATAGAACCTTTGAGGGTAAAATCATGAACCAGTTCAGATCTCACCTCTGCCATGAACTTGGTCCATATTTTTAGTCAGGTCATTATTTCCTGGTCTCTGTCCCTAACTCAACATGAACAAGACAAACCATTTTACCTCACAGGATTGCTACAAGGACTCCCAAGTTAATGTATGCTAAAAGCTTACATACACAAACAAACAAATGACAAGAACAACAAAGGAAGAGCTTTTTGGTGTGCTCACACAGGAGTGATTGCATTTCAACAGGTCTTAATTCCTACAGCAACCTTTTCAGTTTCCTTAGAGCACACCCTTGACTCTACATTCCTTCCAAATGCTGGCCTCTAGTCACAATTAAGAGCATGCCAATTACCATACATTCAAGACCAGGGTTGGGACATCTGCTGAGAATTATCTCTGTAATTAGTTGAGCAAACTTATATTTAATCATTTTAACTGGGATATAACGAAATTAGCATGCACTTCTCAGGCACATCACTAATGTCTGTGTTTTGAATGACTCATGCGGCTTCCATCAACCTTAACTGCTTCCCTAGCCCATCCCTAGTCCACGACAGTGCGTGATTTTTTCCCTATAAATATGCAAAGATGCCCCCATACCCATTGTCCTTTTAATAAAGAGTATTTTACTCAAGTGTAAATCTACACTGATGTACACCGTATGATGTGTGTGACAGACATTTAAATAATTGTTTTAATAAATGAGTAATGCAACTAAAGCAAAAGCAAATCCAATAACATGGTGATTCCGTAACAAATGGAGCACAATTCAAGGCAGCTCATCTTTCTCTCTGCCTGTTCCCCATATTCACCAATTTTCATCTTTTTTTCAGCAAAGAATTTCTGTGCTTATTCCAATGTGCTTGTAGAACACTAAACATCTGGAAAAAAAAACACACTGAGAAGTGAAAAGGATGCTTGCCTGGGGATGGGAAGGAAAGGCTGTGCAGAGTTTTCCCTAGAGCCTCCAACACTTGGCCCTGAAGAGCGCTCATGGGCTTTTAATAGCTGCATGAGAGAAAGGAGTCAGCCTCTCCAGCAGTGCAACACTTTTATGGATGCAGCATGACCTGCTAAATATCTACATGCCATCTCACATTTAAAGGCCTAAGTTCCCTTCGAAGGATGTATGTTGACTGATAAATGAACTCCAGACTATGAATATGCCCAACTATGAAGCATTCCCGGTAGCACTGATACCTTGCCATCGATGGCACAAAAGACTGCGAATATGCTGTGGACAGAAAACAGAAAGAGATGTTCAAATTACTGCTCAGCAGACTAAACAACCTTGGATAAGTTAATCTCTGTCAAATTTACCTGCTTCATAAAGAAAGCTGCAGGGTGTCTTGGACCACAATTTTTTCCAGAGCAAAGGGATACTGGCTAGGAGCTATTTCCACTGAAGAACAAAAGCAGGTTTGACCAGCAAAAGCAGTATTAAGTAGGGATGCATGAGGAATCCAGTGTGGGGGTAGGAATCTGTCAGATTTCCTCAGCTTGGCTGCCCAGACTCTGGAATGCTTTCTCTTTTCCCTAAGCCCAACTTCCCTAAGTCCATCCAGCAGGAAGCAAGTTCAAGCAGAGTTCTGCTTCCATTCACAAGACTGGCAGGCTTTGTGTACTTGTACAAAGAATTACGTACTTTCCGTACTTTGCACAGAAAAACTGCTAGTGTTTGTGCATTTGATTTCAGTTCAACTCACTTCCTGGACAGGACAGACCATGGAAAAGAATTCTGGTGAGAGCAAGAGGTCCCATTCTGATCTTCATCACCTAGTTTCAAGCAGCTTCAGCACCCCCATCTACATTGTCTTAGTCTCTATAAATTTTCACATCTTGCAATTGTGGCCACTTAGCTCTTGCACCCCTCTCAAGAAAGAAAGAAAAGGGAGGACACTGATTTGCATAGCATTTGCAAATAATGATTACACATAAAATGAAATTTAGAAATACTCAGTATAATTTAACAATATGAATCATGTGAACATAGTTGAATTGGCCATGACCTGCATGTCTACTCAGCCAGATGTCCAACTTCAAGTCCCCATGCTCTATCCCATTTTCTGATTCTTGCTTTCAAACCAGGCAGCTGTTTAAACAGAGGACTGTCTTCTGGCAGTCTTTCGAATAGAAGGCTCTCCTGTGTAAAGAAGGATGCATTGGCCACCCTAACAAGAGATTTTATCTGTGAAGTGCTTCCTGTATTAAAGCTCAGATCCTAGACCTTGACACAGGTAAGCTGAGGGTGAAGTAGAGTTCCAATAGGTATCGCTGCAAAATGAAAACTTCCTGTCACGTTACTGTGCAGGTGAATGGAGCAACATGGGTTGAAACAACTGCACTGAGAGATTTGGGAAAGGGAAAGTGGCAGGCTCAGCCCAAGACATTTGCTGCAAGAGGCAGATAAGAGCATCCCCAGATCCCATCCCATGCCCAGCATACTGAAGATTAGCTCTGGGGATACAGGGCAGGCTACTCGGCACATGCAGTTCAGTCCTCCAGGAACTGGTTGCCACTGCTTTCCACCATATCTGGTGGGCCACCTGTTCCCAATCTCTGGCCTAATATAAAGGCTGTTGCTGGAAAAGGAATGCTGGTCAAATAGTCAGACTTAAGTTCAACCCAGATGACTGATTTTGCCAGGAAGGATATTGAGATAAAGAAAATGTACTGTTGAGGTTTAAGAGATTACTATTAAATGAAAACTTTTAAAGTTAGCTAAATGGATAATCTCTAACACATTAAGAACAGTGCAGTGGCATTTATATACACTTGGTCAGACAGGATGGTGCGCATGTGGTAGCAGTGGAATACGTAGCACGGCTGGCAAGACTTAGCAAGCTGGGTTGTTTTACTTTGGCTCTTTTTAGTCCAATAGCTGTCTCCAGGTTGCAGCATGATACCCTCACCTTTCCTATTACAGCTCTGCATAGAACGCTAAATAATACTGGCTTGCTGTTTCTGACCCAGGATCACATCCATTGGGAATTCTGATGGGTCATGCATTAGAGAGAAGGTTAACTGAGATGTCCTTTTCAGTTCTCCAGTGCAGCTGTTCTTGGTGTGCTTCGACAAATGGTGACATACTGATTATGGAAAATTACTTTGTAACATGATGTATATGTATACTGTCACAGTCAATGCTGTCTCCCAGTTGCTGAGGGTCTTTGGGAAAAGCACCCTCACCAAATCCTCTACCTCTAGGAATCATAGAATAGTAGAGTTGGAAGGGGCCATGAGGCCATTGGATCCAACCCCCTGCTGTTGCAGGACACCATGTTACACCATCCCACTCAGATGGCTGTCCAGTTTCTTTTTGAATCCCACCATCCCACAGTCTCTAGTGTGGGAGAGCCCACCACCTCTCTAGGAGTCTGTCTTCTTATTTCCATTGCTATCTGCTGCTATTGCTTCCTAACCAATTTGTCATCAGTTGCTTGCTTGACAAGCAAGGGGCCAGTATGCATGGTATCTAGACTGCTTTTTCACTACCACCATTGTCTGGACCATAGCAAGGAGCTATGAACAAGCTGGCTGGAATGGTGAAGAGGAGGGGTTATTATCAGTGGTCTGGATGGATGTGTGGGCCCTCAGTACACATGAGGGTAGCTATAAACTCTTGACGGAAGCCCCGAGTGTAGTTATATAGCACAGTCCTATATTTGTTTATTTAGAAATGCATCTCAATTTCACAAGTATGGCTTATTTCCAAGTAACTTTGGATAGGAGTATGGTTTTGGCTTCCCCAGTCCAGCCAAGAACCACAGGGGTGCCTGTGCAGATTCTTGTTGAGCAAACCTTGGATATGGATTCACACCCTAATGGTATCAAATCTGTTTCTCTTCTGTTTCAGTTACATGCTATTTCTCCATCAGATTTCCAAAGCAAGAGATCCTGAGCTGAGCAAGGGGTTAAACTAGATGATTTCCATGTTCCTGCCTATTCTAACACTTTATATTGCTAGGAATGTAAAAGTACATCCTCACCAGGTGGAAGTGGGCTATCCATTATACACAGTGCAATAGCACTTGAATATTTGGTTCAAGACCATGAAGCGTTAGAAAATAGGAGGCCATGAACTTTCAAGTTTTAAACAAGTCCAACTATGGCTGCAGTTCATGGGAACTACTCAGTAACGTGCACAGTTTACTGCTAGCAATCTGACGGCACACTCTAAGGAGTGACTGTGGTATCATGCCAGATAAAATTCTGAAAAGGATGCTGCACCATCCTGTTTCTCAAGCAGAAAAGATTGGAC